AACGGTACCAACGTCGAAGTTTGGTACTCACGAGAGCTTTGTGCAGCTATGTTTCGCTTTCACCCGCAAATTTCGTAATTTTTTCACCCCATGGGGATTCGAACTCACGACCTCTGCAACTAGCGGATTACGAGGATACCACTCATGGGAACGAGCTGAACATGAAAGGGAGGCAAAGAGAGGTTCCAAGTGCAGAACAGCAGAAATTTTCTGAGAACAGACGTCGCGTACAACAGCAGTACATTCGAAGAACATAGATTCCCCGTCCGGGTCCAAGCATGTTCTGACCGAACGCAAGTAAGGAAACCTACGCCCACTGTCGTCTCCGTCTTTTGATAATGTGACCCTCTCATTGCGGTCGACAGAACGGGTAACACGCCACGAGCAATATTCCATAAGTGTCCGTGATTGTTGTGGGTTGGTGACAAACGTAATAATGCAACAGCATGTTTCCGCCATTTAATATTTGTCGCCCGCCTGTGCGGGAAGTGACCCACTGGGGGCCATTAAGCTTGATCTTCGCTTGGACAATATCGATCGAGGCTATGGCAGGTGTCCACCGTGGAGTGAACAGAAGATTATCTGACTCTTGCCGTACCCCCACCCTGCGCCCAGGAGCAGGTTAACTATCACGCACGACGTTTTTGGGCTTCAACCTCTTCCACAGAAAAGTGTCGCAGGAACCTTCACATCGTAGCTATCCCCACGCTTGCACTACTCTCGTCTTCTTTGCCCTGGTATTGGTGCTACCCGCCGGGCAGCTGTGGGCGTCTGCCTTTCTGCTTTCCGGCATCGTCCAGTTCACAACCAACATTGGGGGCTTCCTGACCATACGGATGTGAATTTACACGTAAGAACGGTTATGTTTGGGCATATTACCATGGTTTCCAGCCGAGGGATGAGAATGATACGGTCTACATCGGAATAGGGAAACCTTGAAAACATCGGAAGTTCTCCTTTGATAATGAGTCGCATATGTGGTCGCTGTTACATGCACGGGTCTACTGAACCGGTTTTTCTTACACAATCTTTGCGTGGTCCACACACAACAAAAGAGCGATCCATTTTGTGTTCGGTGATACACGGCCGGAAGCGATTCAAACGACGAGCTAGAGCAGCCATGCTGCTTGTGGTTGTCAGGAAACGGCGCAATTCTTGTACATTCACAACGTGCACTATCATTGATATTGTACTGCTTTGGAACTTCCATTCGTTTCGTCTTTCGTAGAAATCGATCGAACATATCATCATTGCGTTTGAATGGGCAACTGACCCTCATTTTTCTCTGGTATATTTTTCAGAAGTGTACCATGTTTTTGTTAGGCAGTATCTCCCCTTGAAGATTGCTTGTTTTTGAAACGGAGTGACGTCGACCCTTCAAATACTGACAACATGCACAAAACATTTGAGATTTGAGATTCCAGGATACCAGGTAGTTCTTAGGAACCATGGCCAGGTCGAAGAAGATATTCTCCAACTAACAGTGCGTGCGTGCGGGCATCTTAACGCTGGCGTCAAAAGCAGGACGCAGCCTCCCCTGATACCTCGTACTTAACCTCGGATCCATTCCTTTGTGCCAGCAACGATCCTCGATTAATGCAAGATACTCCGGAAATGTTGGCGATATCGAACGCGTTGGAACAGCTGGTGAAGCGTTACGCACCCTACGTCGTGGTCTGCCTTGGCGCGGTTGTTGCAACTATCCTGACACTGACCAGGCATTCGCAAGCGGCCGTCAAGGTCGCCTCGGTGGCGTTCATGGGGCTGATTATGGTCATCTTGAAGCGCGGTACATCTCTAGTGCGCACCATTGACAGGTCTTTGAATAAACCCAGAAGGAAGATGTCCGCCCCAGCAACAGCATCAGAATCGGCACAAGGCGAGACGTACTCATGTTTTGCATGCTTTGGCGGTTAGAACATTGACCACGCGTCCTCGAGAGGACGGAGCGTTGTTCCCACAGGACCGATCACCGATGGCCAATCGTTCCTTCCTACTTTGCCAAAGGTGGCTCGAAAATGTCTTCCCTAGTCTGTCTATTCCATCGATATCACTTCCGGCCTTTTCAGCCCGCTTCCTATGCCCCTGCATAGCTACTGCTTCTCCTGGCTATTCCATGATTCAAACATTTCTCGTATCTTCCTTCCACTGTTCCCACCTCAGTCATGTACATTTCTCTCTCCGTTTCGCAAAACGGCAGGCGAGACGGGGGTGGATTCTTCCTGCCTTCTGGCAGCACGGAAGAAAACAATGTTCGCAATGGTGTTTTGCCGGGTGGTCTCCTTGCTCACAGATGTCGCCCTCATGTTCGCCGCCTTCACGACGTACGGCACCGCCGCACCGTTGGTCTTCTTCGGCCTCCCTTTGGGCTTTGCGCCGACCATTTGGTTCGTTTTCAATATCCAGCTACACGCCGGCACGAGCAACCTGCGGGGTACGCCAGGAGTGGTTTCTGGCACCGTCGCACAATACCCACGGGCGCTTGCTCTTTTTAACAGTGGCCGGAATCTCAAGCTAGTAAATGCAACTTCGAAAAGCAAGCTGGTTGTTCTAACCGCTTTCCCTACACCACCCTGACCAGGCTGCCGCAAGATTGCCAGTTGTCACACCCCGATGAGGTCGTTCCAACGTTTTTGCCTTTTCGTTTTCATCGCACCCCTGTGAGAACCTCTGGTGTGTGAGATCCTGAGCAAAACCCTGGAGGGGATACTGTACCATGACACCGGCATGTACCGTATTCCAAGAAATCTCTGCGGGTGGACGGATACCTCGGTTGTGCTGCGATTGCAGGCTTCACACGCGACGTAGGTAGACACACCCACAAAGGCGATCAAGGGAATGCTCTCTGAAACGTTGGGAAATGCCCATAGAAAATTCTTGTTCGCCCTCTCTTGTATTCAGTAAGTAGCAGGTTGCCTGCCCAACCTTCATTTATTTGTGCGTGCGCGCATCCCAGTAAGGACGTTGTCGCTATGGTGTATCTGATAGATAGCAGCGGGGTTGAAGACAATCAGGTCGCGCTGCGTTTGCATGGTGGAAATGTAGGCACGGTGGTACCGGTGGCTGTCTTGGCTCGTGGCCGCTGTTTTTTCTTTGTCATGCTTTGGTTGTTGAGTGGACAAATATTACCGCTTACCGCTTCAATGAAACACTGCAAATTATCTATGTTTTCTCATCCCCTTCATAACTTCACACGTGGTTTGCGACAATACCAAATGTAGCGGAGCTAACAAACCAGCACCGGAATGGTTGCCTAGATTGCGAGTTATAGCACCTCGGTGGTTGCCATCGTAGTATGTTCCAAACTCCATGTCACCCCACCACCTCGGCGGTGTCATAGGTTAGCTTATCTACGACACAGCAAAAAACTAATCAAGACCACTTCCAATGGGCACGAAACAAGCTGAGTTGCCCTCGCACGGCCTCCAGCCGTCCTGTAAGCGTCCGTTCGGCATAAACCGATACGTTTTCCGGAATATGCCCAAGACTGTCGCCACAACCCCTCGTCGGCGGTGTCGTAGATGGGGTTTTATCCATGACGCTGCTAGAAAAATCAAAATTTTCAATTGTAATAGACCACCTTCAACGGGTACGAAACCACCTGCGATGCGTTTTCACGGCTCCCAAAACGACACATGGTTGCCGAGATGTGCCCGAGACAAGAGGCCACGTGTTGCCCTTGTCGTCCCTTGCTACCATTGATGTCGCAGTTTGGGGGGGAGAGTAGCAGTTTTTCCAACGGAAGGCCACTTATTCCGCATCATCGGAATACAAACTGAGTGATCCCACACTCCCACAGGCACGCGCCTGACCCGTGATTCGTCATTCCCACAACGGGTCGTTCGTCATATCCACACCGACGCCAACGACAATTTACAAGGACGACGTCTCAAGGCGGCAAAGACGCGGGAAGCGCGTTCCTTGAAGGACGGCGGAAATGTTTACTCATAGGCATGATTGGCTTACCTCTGCGGAAGATTACTGCTGTCCGTCGTTGCCGACGGGTGAGAGAATCGACAGGCAAGCTTACTGGATATTTGGCACTTGCGACACTTGTTCGTCTTTGTTCGAGATTCTTTTTTCTGCTTGGCCTCCTCTTGGAGTGCAGGCAGGCGAAAGAACGACTACTCCACCTCGCTTGGCAGTCGGTGGCTTGAACAGTGAAGAAACCCCTAGGATGGGAATCAACGGAAATGCTGTCGGCTCGTAGAGCATGTCTCTACTGCAAGTAGTAAATAGGTGAACTCGTTTCTCAACGCGAACACCATCATGACAGCAGATGGCGATGGCATACAAATTAAAAATAGTTCCTGAGAAAACGCTGACTACCACACCGTCCGGTCCGAGGAGACGGAGGGATGGTTGTGATGACGACGCCAAACGTTGTGGGATTTCGAGGTGGCTATTTGGCAGACCGGACAAAGGGCAGACATCTTATCGCCGCTACAATAATAGTTTCATCTTCTAGCAGTGATAATTCCTCGTCCAAATCTATGGAGTTCCCACCATTGAATACCGTTGAATTTCTTGCCCCCTCGACGCATCGTCGCCACCCGGAGGACCATGCTGCAAGCTGCCGTGTTTGTGCTAGCCTAACTAACGTCCATGGTCGCCAGCTTTTCAAATGAAACATACGAAGTAGCTGTGGTAACAAACACCTTGACATAGACTGAATGAAGACCTAGAGTAGGTCGCACCAATCGCCAAGAAAGAAGAAAGGTTCCACGAAAAAAATCCAGAAAGGAAGATAACAGCACGATACTCTAAGGTAAAGGTAAAAGGACCCCTCCCCGAAAAGGATAAAGATCCCATTCCTGGACTCGGAATCTGCGTCGCAAGCAAGCTTCCAGAAAAAATTCAAGCCTGAACAAGTTTCCCTTTGTACAGTGTTCATCGTGTTTTACTCCGCCAGCCAAGACGACTGTGCCTACCGCCCTTTGTTATTGAGTTGGAAAATCTTGACAAAGTTTGAAAGGAACGCACATCGTCACACCAGCCCTCTATGGGCTCTCTCCCATGCTCTCTCCAAAAGGATGCGAAGTCTTGCCAAGCATGTTTTCCGTGCCTTGTTCTCGTCCAGAAAGCACACCGAACGTGGGAAGGGTGTACGCGCCTTTGCGTACCCAGTCGCGGACGACCTCACACTCGGACACGACGTCAAACGAAACGGTCAGCGGCGGTTCTCTCTGCTGGACAGCAATACCACGTCCTCCGCCGGGGTCACCAGTGGCTGTCGTGTCAGGTGCAACGTCACATTCTCCCTCGGTGGCGCCTGTGGTCTCCGTGCTTGTGCCCATGATTTGTCTGGCCACGGAAGGTTCATTCTCAGCACCGATGGCTTCTTCAGGACCCACAACCACCTCTGCTGTTGTGTCCTGCTTAACTCCATGCCCTTGCTTTTCGTCTTGATGTCGCCTTGCTTGTTCCTTTTTCGCAACAAGCTCACAAACACTGGACACGTCAGCTGGCGTCATTCTGCTCCCATGCCCAAGGATGGCTCTTAGGTGCGGCAACGATACACGCGGGAAGACACCGTCGCGTCGCAACGACGACATATTACCCGTAGATCCAGCGGCCGCGTTCTGCATGTTACCAGCGGACGAGGGCGGAGCTGCCACACGGGAAGCGACCGTGCCGGCGGAAGCAACCTCTCGGTTGCTGTTGGCAACGAGTGTGTCGTTGTGTGGTCCCGATGACGAGGTCTCGGCAAGCATGAAAAAGGCTCGAAAGAGCCCTGCGGAAAACGAGACCCCTGCGATATAAGTGTACCCGAGGCCAAACGCAGCGTGGCATATAGGTGTTGGTGGGGATGGCAACGCGGGAAAGACATGAAAGTATGATCCAAGTAATAAACAATCGCAACGTACCTATTCGATGATTACGAGGCTACGCGGACGTCACTCTTCACTCGGTACACCAATATTGGTGTTTCAATTCTTCTAGCTTCTTTTTTACAACTACAACGCCTGAATCTCACCAGTATCCCAAACGCCCTCTTCATCCTCCTCTAGAGAAACATCTCCTCCTGCACCAGCGTTCGGCACTGCGCACAGGGTCAGCAACAGGTCCATCCCATCCACCCGCCCGTCGTCCCCCCCCCACGCTTGCGAGTACACCTTTTTGATCAACAGCAACGCATCCCTGTCGGCTCGCTCCCCTCCTTGATTCACGTCGTCTCTTTGCTGCTCAAACCACAGTGGTAATCCAACAAAATGTCTCTGAGCGATCCTCAAGGTTGGCATCTGTGCCGTAGAGGAATGCACATCAGGAGAAGCAGTATCCGCTGCCGATCCGATCCCCACCGATGTCTGTGATACGGTTGAGGCCTTCAGACACAACGCGTTTCGTATGGAGCTGAGGTCGTCGAGGGTCGGGAGGGACCGAATGTGCCCGAGAAGAAGGCAGTGTATCAACCTAGTGGTTTCGTGCACCAGGAAAGGCATAGCAGAAGCGGTGGTCTAAGGGATGCGGAGTTTCGTCTTGTACGGCGAGCGTCCTCCGACGGCGGGCGGGTGTTTGATGCCTTGGAGTAGTCCATGCACAGCGCAGGTGAGGTTTAATCTAAATCCACAACTAGCAACTGCAAGCCGGAAGCAAAGGCTGTACGTGGCACCCCTGTCCATCCCTCGCCCTCTCCTAACCCCAGGCTTACGAGACCCGGCGCTCCGTATTCTGATGAAGTCTCCCTCACCTTCTCCATGACACGTCGTCCATGCCGCCGGCGGTCGCACTGCAGAGCGTGTCGACATACCCGTTGCTTGAGCTGATCCACGCTCGAGGAATATCCGACTTTAGCCCTTCCCTGTTGCGTTCGGTTATTTCCGAGTGCAACCAAGCTCTCACAACACGCGATAGATCCGCCACCGCCGTAACAGTATTGCTCCCAGGAACGCCCTCTGCCCCCGAGAGACTGCGCTGCAGAGAGTTGGCGAGGCTTGCGATGCAAGGTAACCCAAGGTCGTTCATCCCCCACGGGAGTGCCACGAAAGGGTCGGCGGCAAACGTCTCATCGTCCTCTACCCAAAGCTGTAAAATTGACGTTTCGAAATTGCCACACATGTTCGAAAGGGGAGGACCAAAGACGGTTTTGCGATTGGTTGTCTTCGTCAAAAAATTCAAAAGTGAGCGGTACTCACGCAGACAGGGCCCAGGCCTATATGTAGCACCATTGGCTCGTGGTATCAGTTTTGGGGGGCCGTATCGTGCATCCACATATTCTTTTCACTTGACACGCCGTTCGTCGAGCTGTCTCAGGACTCCGTATTATTGAGGTGCTGCATGCACAACATTGGAACACCAAGTATGGAGGCACTCTCGAACGCTATCTGCTGTGCCTCTGTCCACTTGGTCTCGCTGAGCCCACAGGAATCAACTACTAACGGCGCACACAGACGAAACTTCGTGAACGTAGGCGCAATGTTGACCTACCGGAATGCCGTTCTCTAGCATATCCGCGAGAATGACATGGTCACATTCTTGAAGAGCCCGCCGCACCGTAGCGGTTGCGACGCTGATGCCCTCGTGTTCCAGCTGCACGCGGCGGCGCTTCAGGCGCCTCAACGCCAGTCGCATGGACAAAACTTTGGCCTCGCAACCCTCAACTGCCCTCAAAAGGCGCACAACCACCCCTCTCAGTCGGCAGATATATGTTTGTCGGCACCGCCAAATGACCGCCTCCAAGGCTTCGCTTGCCCTGTTTTCTCCGCGTCCGTCAATCCTGTTTTCTCCGCATTCTTCAAACGTCACGCTTGATGCTGCTTCCCCCTTTGTCGGCGTACTTATTGCGCGGGTCCAGTCACTGCTTTGCCCCGCCGAACTGGAAAATTCTTCAACACGTTCGATCGCTTCGGGGAGTGGATTTGCTTGCCGGGTTTTGCAACCAGCATCTCGGAGAGTTACGGGCTCCTGACTAGGCCCGTGGGCAGGCGAAGTCGTTCCAATACGCTGGTATACCTGTTCCACCGCTCTTCGGACTTCTCCTTCAAGACAGGTCCCCACTGCTGCGAAACGTCGCCTAGTCTTTGCCACCTCTTCCACGAGGGCGTCAGCTGCTGCGTAGGTTGCCTCCCGAAGTGTGTCTGCGTTGCTAGTGATGTCGTTTGGGTCTTCTTCAAGGCCGAACAGCCGATCGAAGACGCAAAGGGCTTCGACAGTCTCGAGGTACGTGGCTCGCTCCGCCGCACAAAGGTCAGTAGCCGCGCTTGCGACGTCGCCGATCCAAGCGCGAACTTTGCGGTCGGCTTCGCCGTCGATCTGTCCCACAATTATCTCTGCCGAGGAATGACGGTCGTCCACCACGTCGCCGGTCTCGAGTTGGAAGGCTTCGAGCGCCTCCCACACGCAATCCCCTTCCGCCGGCGGGACAGAGGCAATGATCGACTGGTCGCCCCTACTGTCCCTCGTCGCACGGTCACCTCTGCTGCGCCTGTTCTGCACTGCTTCGAGAGCATCCCTCCTTCGCGTCAGCCAGTCCGCTATCTGTGCTTCAAGCCGAAGGCACGCGGTTGTCCACCGATCGTCGGGGTTTCTTAGCTCCTTCGAAAACGAGAACTCAGCAGTTGAGGCCCAGTCGATCACCGAGAGTGCCGGACTTTCGGCCTCTAGTTTTCGTAGCGCTGTCTGCTGCGGCGAGCAAGCACTTCCCGTCGTATCTGCTGCCAGAACGCTCGCCTGGGAGACTGCCGATCGCAAGCCTTCCAAGTCCAGCTCTCGGTCTCCCATCAAGGCCTCGAGCTGAATTCTAGTGCTTTGAGACATATTTCCCCGCCGTTCCCGACGCAACCTTTCGACGGATGCCGAAAGCGGAACCGCCAGCGGCGAAGGTCGGTCGGTGGCCATCGCAGTGGTAGAATGCGATTTGGTGTCGCTAGGGGGTTCTGAGGAGCCACCGCCTTCCAGTGCCTGGGTGGCCACAACTTCCGGGTTTCTTCGAGATAACGCCGGTTCTTTTTGCCAGAATTCGTGCTCGTCCTGTACAAGGGAGCGGCACAAACAATACGCAGACACTCCAGTAAGACTGACAAACTTTCATTTGTCAGCCGGTTAGCACGGTCGATGCAAGTAAGAAAACACGCACACACACACCATGGGCGGGAGCTTGGACGAACATAGGTACTAAAGCTTTATCTGCTATTGCTGAACATGATAGGTCTATTAGGAAGTTGAGCGAAAGGATGCTAAAGCTCGAGTGCTCTCAATGTTGTCATTCTTCTTGAAACAGGGGATTGCAAGAGGTGTGCGACACAAGCACACCGACGATCACATCTCCCAAAGGGGCATGCAACTGGAGGGGAACATCATGAGTATAACTCCGGCTACTCTCGCGAGCCTGGTCAAACCGCGACAGAAAGGTGTGTTGGTGATATGACGCTTCAAAAATATCACCTTCCGGTTCTGCGCAATGTTCACGAGCAAAAACAGAGTCTCGAGAAGTCGTTCGTTATTGACCTCGTTTGGCACGTCGCATGAAAGATGGCCACCCTCGAAGCCTTGCAACCACGCGATCTGCGCGCGTCTCTCTGCGAAGTATTTGCTGCGTTCGACATTTTCCTCGTCCTGGCCGCCACCATTTCCGTCGGCCTCTTCCGTCGTTGACGCAGCAGCCATGTTTTCGTTCAGCGCATTGGCGTCTGCACCTCCCTTAGTCCCAGCCGGAGAGTCTTGTGGTAGGGTCCCTACACGTGGCGAGGACAAGCACGGCTCGGCCAGACTCAAGACTGCGTCTAACCCCGATCGCGGAAGGACGCGTGGTTGCTCCTCCTGTTGCTGAGGCGCTAGGCTCATTTTTTTAGCCTTCGCGTCGGATTTCGATGCCTTACCAGCCGTCCCAAGCTCTGCCGCTACCTCCTCGTCCGTGTATCCGCTCAGAGCGTTCTCGAGTAATTTCGATTCGAGAAGAGTAGTGGGATAGCCAACGAGAATCCATCCGCGCCCACTCGGCGCCCGGCACGACAAGTGCTTCACCAGGAGATCGGTCGTTGTCGCTAGAGGCACGGGCGCCGTACCCTTCTTCGGGTGCGTCCGCAGCGCATGATACGCCAATGCCGCGGCCTTAAAAGCGGCGGTATCTTCCTCTGTTGCGTCCGGGTGGAAGCATCTCCGGGCGGTCGCCTCTCTGGCTTTTTCTGCTGCCGTCTCAGCGTCTACTCCAGACGCATTTTCTCCGGAGTCCTCATCCCCAACGCTGCTATTTCTACCCGAAATACTCCCCTTTCGGCTCTTCCCACCCTTGCCGCTCGATGCGGCCGCCTCCGCGCCCACTTCCATGGCGCATTCCAGGGCGGTTTCCATACTACAGACGTACAGACCTACCCATCGGCCAAGCTCGGCTGCCAGGTCAACTAGCCCATTCCTTCGACTGAGTAGCACAAGCCTCACATCCGGCCTTGTGGCCTTGTCGTGGCAACGACTATTGCGACCGTATGTGGGAGCCTCGCGCGGTATGCTTCCCGAAGCTTCCACCAGGCTCCTTGCGATGCCCGATGCCTTAGCTAGGGGGGAGGGCGCGCCAAAGAGTTCTGCTGGTACATCCTCTCGCAATCGCCATAGCCCCTCACAGCGATCTAAGTTATTTCTCTCAAGGAAGGCCTTCGCATCCAAAACAGGGTCACGAGGTTCTGGCGTGGGCTCGGGCGGGGTGGAGTCTACAAAAAAGGGTTCGGGAGAACAGAACCGGCGTTTAAGGTGAGCCCAAGCCGTCGGAGGCAGTGGAGCTCCGCCGCGACTCGCACGCAACTCTGACGAAACCACCGCGAGATCCGACATCTTGTGCACGATTTCCGCGCACATTGTCTCTGTCCGGCGCCGTTTTTCGTAGCGTTCGTGTTGTAGTCTAATGCGGAGCGCTTCGTTGTTCGCCTCCCGTTCGGCTCTTCTCTCTTCGTAGCTCTGACGAGTGCAGTCTGCTCGTGCGTTGAAAGCGGTCTCGAACGCTTCTTCTTGAGCAGCCGCCATCTCGGCGAATCGCCTCTTGTCGGTGATAGCCTTCTGTTCAAGGTTGTGCCTTTCCGCCCAGTAGGCTGCGGCCGCTTCCCGGCGCTCGTGCCCCTTGTCAAGCATCTCTTTCAGGCGTTTTTCTGCGCGGCGGTTTGCATCCGTTTCTGCCGTGGCGCGCCGCTGGTCCACCTCCGTCTTTACCCGGCGATCCTCGCGCTCTTTGCGACCCCGGCGTCCTGTAACGCCTCGGAAACGGAGCTCGGCCATGGCCTCGGCGTTGCTGCTCGGAACGAAATTTTGGTCGAGTACTGCGCGCACGAGCCTCGAACGGAAAGTCGCTGGCGTCTCCTTGTCGGGCAAGAGAGCACCGGCTCGTCCGCCGCCGTCAACGCTACCGCCCCCGGGGTCTAAGCCTAGCCTGTCTAAGTTGTGCTCGAACCATCGGATGCCGTCGGCCTCGTCGTTGGAATGGCGATTGCGAGAAATGCGTTTCCGTGCTGCCGTTGTCGCCTTGACTGCCAACTCGTAGTTCAGCAGTCGCCGCTCGTAGCGACACAACGAAGCTTGATTTGAATTCCATTTCGCCCGGCCTTCCCTGCAGGACATTGAGGCAAGGAGAATAAAGAATAAAGCCGAGTGAAGATTGCCAATAACCCTAATCCACAATCCCAAGTAGTATGGAAGGTATATTCATTCAAGTACATGGCCATAGACGGTCGGAAATAATTTTCTTTCGTGTCAGTATACCGTGTATGCAGTAATGATGTGCTTCTGCCATCACCTAAACCACAAAATCGTACTTTCCCGCGAGCGGTGCGCAGCTCACCTCTCCCAGTTCTGAAGGAATTCTCTCCTAACGGTAGAGCGAAGGAGCCATCTCAACCTCCTCTCATCTCTTCGACGTATCGACTGTTGGCCCTCATCGCTCTCTTTCATCGATTTCTCACGCTGGGCTGCCTTGTCTCGATCTTCATACTTTTTTCGGTGGAACGTGAAGACGCCGATAAGTAAGAAAGCGACGGAGAAAGTTGCACGTCCGAGCAAAAGTCAGAGGGCCCCACATTGGGTGACGTGGCCGGCAAGTGGAACGTACAACGGAATGCCGATACTGCTTGCCTGTTTCTTCTTCAGTACTCATTGGAAGGTAAACCAGGGTCGTCTGAAGGGCATGCAACTTCCAACGGACACCGTGTTTCATAGTTCTACTAAGGAAAATAAATACACACACAGAAAAGACTACCCATACTGAAGTCGTTGATGGAAACTTCCCTCATCGTTATTATTTGTTGGTCATCACAAAGTTGAGCAGTAAACCGCCACTCGCAGCTTGTTCCATCCTCCCTACGAATGGCTTGGGATGAAGAGGTTGGATCGGGCCCTGTACAACAATTCATCCTGCGATGTACCCTGTTTCTCAATCATCGCAAGATATTCGGAACAAGATTCCTCGGTGTTCTCCCGCTCGGCTCTATGTGCGTACTCTTAAGGTGGGGCGACAGCAGTAAGGAGCACACACAGGCAATGCGTTAGTTATATCCTCTTGAATTCTGGATGTTTCCCTGTCAAAGACGCACAGTATTATCCATTTCTGGGGTCCAAAATTAAAATTGCTGAACAGGTCGGAGAATTTTTCGCCTCACCTTCTGCTGCTGCACTGTGAGCATGAGTTCTTTCACGTTGACCGCCGCGGCTCGGGTCATGGTTAAGTTGTCCTTTCCCCACGAGGTCAGACTAGCCCTCCGGAAAAGCTTTGGGCGCACACTTTGCAGTGTAGGGGGTAGGGCCCTCGCACCGCCCACGCCGCGCCTGACCTCATGACATTGCGTGTCTCTTACCATGACGGTGGCGTGTAGTAATCGCGATGTGGCGACGAGACACCCGTCCCCGACGACACAGCTGCCAAGGCAGGTGGTTCCAGCGGTAGAGTTACTGGTCAAGGACACGAGGTACTATCGCAACCTTTTGTCAAGCATAATCGTCGAGCTCATATCCCCAGAAACTGCCGCGCAGCGCTCGCAATGGTCTTCATGTGTGGTCGTTCTTGAATGTGAAGTCGAACATCGACAACGTAAGTTGATGTTGTTTGACGGTTTCTCAGACTCATAATTCCCCGCGTTTGGAATCGTAAACCCCCCGCCTTTTTATGCGCCATGCGAAATGCACCCACAATACCGTCCGTTCCCCAAGAGGAGCTACACTTACCCACCACGCGCACCTCCTCCACACATCCTTCCCTGACCATGTACTCTCGGTGTGCTCTAGTGGCCGTGGCTGTGGCAGGTGAGCTATGGAGTTGCATTTGGTGCTCCTGGTAACACGTGTCAGTTGTTTTGTTGCCGCAGTTCACCGAAGCAAGCTCCACGCCACAGAGCACAGCAGCTCCAAGGAGGTCTCTGAGCAAGGATTGCCCTCACACCCGAGCATTCTCGGCATCGGGCATGCATCGCTGCTTGGGTCGTAGCGCGCTGACCGACTGCTCGACGTCCTTGCTCGATGGAGCCAAGCTTGCTAATTTATGTTTCAATGTTCTGTTGTGTTTTCAGACTGCACATGCTCCGATGGCCGCACACACAGTCAGCAGTAGCGGCTGGGTTGGCAAAAAGAGAGGGATATTTCCTTCCAGAAAATACACCAGTAGTTGCGCTTGCTTGTGACAGCCGTTCCTACTGCTGTTGCGCATCTCTCTCGCATGGTTTGACAGGACTCAGCGTATCTGATGCCTTCGTTGCCACGCCCTTCATGGGTGGTCGTGTAGCTGGGGCCGGTCCCGTCGCCAACGGCATGTCTATGGTGAGAGAGACCAGCAGCAGGCACCAAGAGGCACTCACATGTTTTGCTCTTTGCAGATTTCGTTGCGATCGTGATCCATTACACCACGTTCGTCCAACGCTAATGCGGATCACCGACCGCCATGCGCGTGAAAATTACCTGCCGAGCGTCATGTACGCCCTTTGAGACCTGAATCCCCCTACACGTAAGGCCGGATCGAAATAAGTCGACCGGAGCTTTGCCTGTAGCCACGTGGTTTCCGCCGTCATGTAAGGAGCGAATTTTGCATCCAATGTTGACCATGTTGAACATTCTATATTTTCGTCGAATTCTTCCACAGTAGTACTGCTGTTGTTACGTGAGCCCAGCTCTTGATTGTATGGAGACAGAAAGCTCGGCCTCAAGAGGAGGGCCAAGATGGATAACCCTTGTGTTTTCGGACTGACGAGGAAGCTTGGTTGTGGCAGTCACCACCCACGCGATAGGAGCGCTTCGCCACATCATACTTCCGCCACGCTTTCATGGCGGCTGTTTCTGTAAACTTGTACCCCCCCTTGTAACATGAACGAGACTCACCGGAATTCTAATGTAGGCGCACCACATGAAATAATTTTCCTGAGAGAATGACCGCCACGGGCGTCACTCAATAAGGTTAGTCCTCCCGTCCATGTTGTAGTCGAGGAGAAACCAACGGATAACAACGCCCACAAGACTGCTGTGCCGATGGACGCACGCCCTCGTACTCCCCCGAGATTTTTTGGCCACGCGACTCCACGCAGCACTGACCCATCCATCCATTCTAACCGGCACGAAAACACAGTCGGCCATCTCGAAGGTGGTGGGGCGTGAGATCATCGACTCCCGCGGGAACCCCACGGTGGAGGTGGACATGTACACGGAGGACGGCATGTTCAGGGCCTCGGTGCCCAGCGGCGCCTCTACGGGCGTGTACGAGGTCAGCAGCGTGTCTAGTGGGTACAAAAGCCGCGTAGCCTCCCGCTGTGTACGGGAACATAGATCCATTGCTTTTCTATCCCGTTCTCTTGTTGTCTGCGGAAGAGATGAGAATCGCTGTGTTGTTGGTAAGAATCCTGAGACGGATCTTGTCAGCCATCACTGCAGGGCAACGTCGAGTTGACCTACTCCGTGCCTTGCCCGTGCCCTCAACACCCAAGTGTTGAAGCTTTCCACATCCGCCCTTTGGTTCAACACATTTTAAATCAGTTTTGGTTGAGCCACCATCCCCAGAGAGAGCAAAAGAGAACCTAGCACCACCCTGAGAAACGTTCAGGACAACGACTAGGATGCACCACCCAGCTTGAGACCAAGCGCTCGCATGTCAAGCGCACGCCGACGTGGAGCATCGGGCAGATGAGCTTTGCATCCGGGGCGGCCTTTCGCTGCTTGCGAAACTCCAAAACTCAACAGGTCGATGTTGGACAAATTTTGTTAAGTTACCTGCATGTGAGAACAGGTGGGGCATTTGAAATAAGTTGACATGCTTCAAGCAGCAAACAAAAATATAATGATCATGGTCAACAAAAGCCTGATGACCCTGAGCACACAAGCAACAAGTGAGCCCTGTCTGCAGCATTCCAACGAAGGTTGTGCAAGTCCCTTAATATGGTCCCCTGAACATTAGTATCTCACCGGCACGGGCAACGGCTGCATAACCTCCCTTGCCCTCGCTTGCTTACACACGCACGGCCGCAGCTGTTTTTCGTGTGGCACTGTCAGATTAGTGCGGAAAGGTGAAGGTACTGGATAGAGAGATGAGAACGATTTTAAATGTGGAGGCAACAACAACACTATACCCGCTCCCTGGCCACTGTGCGCCCCAGGCGTGCGAGCTCCGTGACGGCGGTGCCCGCTACGGCGGCAAAGGCGTACTGACGGCCGTCAAGAACGTCAACGAGGTCCTCGGCCCCATGGTGGTCGGGATGGACCCCACCGAACAGCAGGCGATCGACGACGTGAGTAGACAGCGGCCGGAGAGGGTGGAATCGGCACACATTTGTCTACTCGAAAGGACGAGCCAATTGTGTTAGCTACCTTAATCACAACGATCGTTTTTCATGTGTAGTCGCCTCTGATTGATTGGATGGCTCTTTTTCGTAAGAGTGGTGGTTCTGGCAACCTCGCGGTAGTAGTAAGCTCATGATCAGGGTCAGGTTTGTCTTTATGGGACCGGTTTATTCGGCCCGGGAAGCATCAACCCCTCCCTCTATTTTGATGTGGTGGATGGTCCCATATCCTTCTGAACGAGTAACCAACGCAGAAAGCGTGTTCTCCTGCCTTTTTTCAACCTGCCCCATCTTTCAGCCTCCATATCTGCCACATGTGTGTACGCATCGGTGTGTTTGTTATTCTGGCACTAAATGGGTTACCACAACAGACATGAAACATCCCGTTTCTGCTGTCTTGGGCCTGTATTCTCCCACGGGTCCTCAACAAACCGCCAGCCACCCCTACACGCCAAAACTCGATAGGTGGGCTAGGCCAATCTTCTCAAACCCTGTTCGTTTCACACTCCTCCTCCTCCTCCCCCTCCTCTGCTGCTAACCGCTCGTGCCATTGCGCTCCGTCCTGGCCAGGCGATGCTCAAGGAGGACGGGACGGACAACAAGACCAACATGGGCGCCAACGCCATCCTCGGCGTGTCTCTGGCGGCGGCTAAGGCCGGGGCGGCATCGAAGGGCGTCCCTCTCTACCAGGTGTGCGTGTCGTGAGATTCAATATTTGATGTTTCTCCCCTCTTTCTAGATGCCACACGCGGTGGTGTTTGTAGGGCATGCCCGTACAGGTACCCGGGTAGTCCGGTAACTTTCGAATCCCTCCGTGATTTCCGACTTCAGTCTCGGCTCGTTTGGATTCAGCCGACCGAAGCACGATTCACCATTGACACGCTGTTCTTGAAATGATTCGACGTCAAAATCTTTCTGATTGAGTCTCAGCTGTTCCGTCATATAGTTTGATGGACATCGTTTGCAGTGAATTTCTTTCTGCTTTTTCCTCCGTGTTGTATTTTCTCTCGAAGATACATAGCGCAGACAAGAGTCACACCTGTTGGTCATGAAGTTTCGTTGTCGCCGTCTGAAGCTCTCGCTCTTTTTGTTTCTTCGATCCACACACCCGCGGCACTTTCCAGCACTTCGCCGACCTGGCCG